TTTATACACACACACACACACCACACACACACACACATATATACTAGTATTATATATATATATATATATAATATATATATATATATAGTATATATATATATATACAGCGCAAGGATACGGTCTATTGTAGAATTTCCAGGATTGAATCCGGATTGCTCCAGTCTCTGATGCTTCAGTAGATGATCTCGATACGTCTCAGAAGGATGTGGGCGAGAATCTTGCCTGGTATACTTAGCAGCGTGATACCTTTGTGATTGATACAGTCCCAACGGTCCAAGACTTTATATAAACTGTTCCTTGTCCCTTCTTAACAGAGACCGAGTTCGGCGCACATGAGACCGGTGCAATTCCCGATCCCCTGTTAGACAAGCTGCACGACAAGCATCTGTGGCTTCCAGTGTCTCCTGCGAGATGAAATTCTGTATTGCTCTCGGGCGTACACCAATCGTATTTTGAGCTGCATCAAGCGTTTCACGCTTAAAGGTATCCCACAGGAGAACAGGGTCCGTCAGACTGTCGAGCCTTGTGAAACGACCAGAGATTGCCTCAGCAAATCCACGGGCACACTCCCCCTCCCTCAGCCTGTCCAAATGAAACACCCTAGGGTGTTTCATTTGGACCCCGCTGGGGAGTTTTTAAGTGGACCCGGAGGGTAGCCACAACCAATCTATGGTCAGTACCACAGAACTCAGCACTCCTGTACACCCTACAATTCTGGAGGATCCTCCAACGAGTGCTAACGAGTATGTGGTCGATCTCCTTGGCTGCATTCCCTACATCGCTGTACCATGTCCAACGATGTGGGTCCAGGCGCTGGTACCAGGAGCCAGAAATCCTCAATTTCTGGGACCTAGCAAAGTCCCAGAAAAGGAGGCTATTCTCACTCCCGGCATCAGTTCCTGAGCCATGGGGACCAACAGATATCTCATAGCCAGCTTGATCACAGCCAGATACCGCATTGGAGTCACCTAGAACAATGCGAATATCTCGCCGGGGACATCTGTCTGCCACAGATGCAAGTTTGGCGTAGAATATCTCTTTCACGTCAAGTTTATAAACATCGGTAGGAGCGTACACATTAATGAGACATGAAGCCAAAAGATAGCTTTAGTCTCAATACCATTATATGCTCATCAGCAGGAGTAACCTCTAGTACCGAGGGCTGGAGTCTGTTGGAGATGGCAATAGCTCCTCCCTGGAGGTGATGACCGTCGCTGCGGCCTGACCAGTAATAGGTGTAGCCACCTACACTGGTCATGCCACTGCCAGGTCTCCTCACCTCTGAGAGAGCAGCCACCTCAACTCTCAACCTCCCCAGTTCCCTCGATCATCCTGACGTAAAGACCGGACGTTCCAAGCCCCCACCCTGACTTCCCGCCTCAGATTCAACATCGGGTAGTTACTCCGGGTGGATGCCACCTCTGCCACCCCCGCTGACGCTGTCCCACATAAAAGGGGGTGGCGGGCTGCGGGGCCCATCATCCACCTGTGGGGTTCCCGAGGGCTTTCCCCCACAAACTTCACTCTGGGCTGGCGGCTGCTAGAGCACAGGTGAGACGAGTAGTTCCGTTCCCAGCCTGCGCTCCAGCAATCGCCCCCCCAGCAGGGCCCACAGTCCGCCTCACTTGCTGGGTGGGAGGGACTTTTTCACTCCTCCCCCCATACATACATATATATATATATATAATATATATATTATATATATATATATATATATATAATATACGTGTGTGTGTGTGTATTCATATATATATATGAAACTCTACAACTGGATTATATATTAGTGTCAATTTTTCAGAAGAGAAAATATGGACGAGGAAGGATTAAGTTGCATCATTTGTGAGGAGCAGTATAGTGATCGAAGAAATCCTCGGGCACTTAACTGCGGACACTCCTTTTGTACTCCTTGTCTCAACCAGCTCTTCATGCAGAACTTTAGAACGTGTCCCGAATGCCGCGCCGTCATCAGAAATGCCTCAGTCAAGACCATTCCCATAAACTACTCGCTGCTCAGGCTGGTCCGGCCGCAGGGAGCTCAGGCATCGAAGCCATCCCCAAAAGCGGTCAAGGAGCCGAATGGCGGGAAATGTCAAGCTCATGGATCCATAATGTTCTTTTGGTGTGTGAAGTGTTGCACTTGGGTGTGCCGCGACTGCCTAGTTTTGGACCACCCTGATCCTCCACGGGGCAGCTGCGTGATCAAGGCGCCTAAAGAAGCGGCGGCAGACATGGTACAAGCCGATAATCAGAAAGTCAAGGTCATGATTGCAGATATCGAGGGGATAATCAAGGTGATGGAATCTGCAAGTCTTCACGTCGAACAACAGAAGAAACAGTCTGAGAATAGGATCACTGCTCTGAAACAAGAGATGTCAGAATTGGAGGCCACTGTTCAAAGTTATACGGCCAAACAGCAAGAAGTCACTAAGAATGTTACAGATATGAAGACTTGGATCCGAAAGTTACAGGAAAGTTTAGTCCAAACAGCAAAGGCTACAAC